CCATTATCCTTTGAGCTACCCACAATTGCAAATCTGGTGTCCCATAATTCACAGTCATATCACCTTACCAGGAAAATGCCAGTGTTAAAAAGACAGGTTCTTATACGTGTGCAATTGAGCCTCCACAAAAATCTTGCGCTGATGCTGTATCAAGCTCTCTGGTTTTTGGGTGCCATGCTAATGGAGTCCAAGCCTGGCCAGGTTCTACCATGTTGACAAGGCTCCAAATCCACTCATGGTGATGCTGTCCAGGGACCAGCCTCTAAGTCTGGAGAGGCTTAACACCTCTAAGTTGGCCACTATGTGATAAGTTGTTAGTCACACCATGAGATCCGTCAACATCAATTCACCCCTTTAAAGGTGATAGCTTGTTAATGGGTGAAAAGCATTAGGTGCATGTGAAAAGCTATCATCCCATTGATGGTTGCATGGGACATAACATGGACTGGTATTTAAAGTTTTTGTCTGAGGCAAGCTTGCTAAGGATGCCCAGCTTTTCACAGATGGATGGTGTTGAATGGAGTCAGACACAATAGTGAGGTACACTGAAGCTCTCTAAGCCTCCAAGGCAAATCAGAGAGAAGTCTCCAAAGCCTTAGTAGCCTGAAGAATGGTTAAGGATATAACCAGAAGTCAGAGTCATGAGGCTCCTCTGGACAGATGCAGAAGCAGAGATAGGAGTCTGCTGTCCAGCCTTGCCATTCTTTCCTATTATCATCATCATCAAAAAAGTAAGCATAATGATGATAATAATAATAATGATAATAAGTGACAATGATAGGATGCTTTAAAGTTGGCAAATCACCTTATACGCATTACATTTGGCCTCACAACATCCTTGTGTGGTTGGCAAGACTTTATTATCCCCATATTACAGATGAGGGAAACTGACACTCAAATGATCATTTGCCAATGGTCATTTATCTGTTCATTCTTTTTTTTTTAATTTTTTTTAAGGCAACTGGGGTTAAGTGACTTTCCCAGAGTCATACAGCTAGTAAGTGTCAAGTGTTTGGTCTGAGGCCAGATTTGAACTCAGGTCCTCCTGACTTCAGGGCCAGTGCTCTATCCACTGCTATCTGTTCATTCATAACAATCAGTGCCAGTGGCATACTAAGTGCTGGGGACACAAAAACAAAAGTGAAATAATTTCTGCCTGGTCATGCAGCATGTAAAGTCAGATTCAAACCCAAGTCTTCTTGATTCTAAGTCCAGTATGATATCCATCCATTACATCATATTGCTTTGCTCCAGATCATTAGAGTTAAGATATCTGCCATTAATTGGTAGTAGTGGTGGAGATGTCCAGAATGTTGAATGGTGAAACGAATGGAGGGTATAGACAAGAGACACGTGGGGTGGGCAAGCAAGGTTGTGACCTGGACTGTTGGACAAAACATCCACATTGATGAGGCCATAGATCCATCTGAGCATTTCATTAATAATAATAACCAACATTCATATATGGTGTTTTAAAGTTATCATCTGTCATTATTCCTAAAAAGGGTATAACAGTATCCTCCTCTGCTGCTCTACTCCTCATACCTGTAACTTCCCAAACCAAAATATTCCTCCCTCGCCACTGCTCCCCTATATAGATTGTCTTCCCCATTAGAATGTAAGCCACCTAAGGGCAGGGACTGCCTTTGATTTTGTATTTGTATCTTTAATACTTAGCATGGTGCCTGGCATATAGCAGCAAATGAATAAATGCCCATTCATTCATCCATCCATTTGTTCATCTGATTTGATTGATGAAACCACTTTGTGAGGTCATTATATATATGTACATATACATACACATATGTATTCATATATGCACATATAAATATATATGTCTACATACATATACACGCATCTACATATACATATCTATCTCTATAATTCCCCCAAGTTACAGTTCATGGTGGTGAATCTATCACACAACAAATGCATTAGAAGCGGGACCCAATCCAAGATCTTCTACTTCTGGCACTTTCATCTAAACATACTGATCGTTTTGCCTGAAGGAAGATGCCCACTTTTCTCAGCTGCAGAAAAAAAGACAACTAGAACTCTGCCCCCCCCCCCTTCCAGAACTACTTTGGGATCTGCTAATTTTGCCAATCATTTCAAGGCTGTTTGAGCGTCTGCATCTAAAGGACTCCTTCTGTGGGCCTAAGCTCTTTTCTCAGGCAAGACACAAGCATTTCAGGGGCCTCTTTCAATGACTTAGAAAGTCCAGCCTGTAAAATCACTTGGGGGTAGACCTTGGCTGGGTGATGTGGGGAGAAAGAAGCCCGAGTGAAAATATGGTGAAGTGCAGAGTTGGGGGTTACTAATTCTGACTCCAAGAACATTCCTTCACTATTTCCTCATGAATAGTACTGCCTCAATTGCCCTTCTAAGCCATTCAGCTCAATGAAAAAAACAGAGGAAGGAAAGAAACAGGCATTTATCGAGCACCTACTATGTGCCAGGCACTGTCATAAACACATTACAAATGTCATTGTTTTTTTCTCCAAAGCCATCACAAATTTTATCATAGAATTTCAGGTTTTGAAATTTGTAAAAAAAATTTTTTTGAGTATTAAAGAGAGGCTGTTGAACTAATGCTATTAAGATACTTGAGCATTTTATGCCTCAATACTGCTTATCAGTCATACTGATCTACATAAATGCATTTTGGAACCCATAGACGCTCAACTTGAATTCACCTTAGGAGAGAGTACACAACACTGTACAGTCAAAATTTATTTAAATCTGTAAATGCACTGTTCTATAGGTAAGGCACTGTATGTAAAACTCTTTATTATAAAACTATGAAAAAACCCAACAGAATTTCAAAATCCCAAGTTTTTCTGTTTTGCTTTAATCCATCCACCTTTTTGAATGTGTATTGGGGTGAGATGGGGCTAAAAACAACAAAAACAACAACAATAAACAAAAGTTCATGAAAAGTTATTTTCCAGGATTTTATTTGTTTGTTTGTTTTCTTGTCAAACATGTCTACCTTTCCCTTCAGGTGTTTGCATCTCCGTCTGCTCCTGGTTCACCACTGGCCCATAGGGTGTGCATTGGGACTTTTGTTTCTAGGCGTGAGGGCTGATTTCTTCAGATTTTGCCCCATCTCTTCCCTTGCTCCCCCATACAGATTTTCAGGAGGGCTAGGGGAAGGGGAGCTTTGTTGGTAACACAACCTGTGTCCTGGGGCACAGTCAAATGAACTGGCCCTCCAAGGATGGAACTCATGACCTTGGCCTCCTTAGCACTGTATTCCAATCAACCAAGGCTGACCTTCCCAAGATTGTACAAAGTGCACTTAGGACAAACTGAAGCTGGGATGAGACAGAGAATAATATCTAAATAAGGGAATAAAAGAAGTAATATGGACCTCACTTTGAGCTAAACAAGAAATAGGGAAATTTTCACAATCACTCAGATAATCAACAAATATTTATTATGCCTACTGTTTAGATAGAAATTAGAGGCCCTAGGTGGCTTAGTGGTGTCAGGAAGACCCAAGTTCAAATCCGGCTTCAGACACTAGCTGTGTGACTCTGGGCAAATCACTTCACCTCTGCCTCAGTTTCCTCATCTGTAAAATGGGAAGCCCTTCCACTCGGGGTTGCTCTTGTGAGGATCAAATGAGATGATATTTGTAAAGCACTTAGCACAGTGCCTGGCACATAGTATTCACTTAATAAATGCTTATTTCCTTCTCTTTCCCTAGCACATGCCAGGTACTCTGCTGGGTAGCACAGCATCCCTAGAATAAGAGGCATCTTGAGCCCCAGTGATTTCTGATCTTTGGCTTAAAAGACATGGTGGGGAAGGAGACCTTCTTCCTTCCTCATGAAGCCACCCCAATAACGACAGCTCGTGTCTCCCTGAGTCCCCACAGCACGTGCCGCCTGCACCATATACTGGGGTACCAGGTACCATAAAACACACCCAAATTTTCCACTGTCAAAATGCACACTGCCGTATATTGTGCTCTGTTTTGTACATAAAGCTTTTGACTCTATAGAAAGACTGTAAGATCCTTGAGGGAAGAGACTCTGTGTTATGTTTTTTTGTTCTTTCACACCTAGCACTGTGAAGCTGCCTTCCTGATCTCTATTGCTTAAAGGAAAAGGAATAGTCCAAGTTTATATCTGAAGTGCTTTGCTGCCTTCCCATCAAGTGCTAATTTTACAAAAGACCATCACAAACTAGAGAATTGCAAATAAACTCATTTATCCAAGCATACAGCACAGAGAAATTAGAGAAGTCAGAAAAGATCTGACTTTGCCAGAGAATATGTATAGTGATTGAGCTTTCCCACGGAGCACTTGCCAGGGAAATCTTTCAGCTCAACTGAGAGAAAGAGTCCCCAGTCTCACCTAAGAGGAAATTCCCCCAAGTCTCTTGGGAGACAAGTCATAAATCAGAGACATGTTGGAGGGTTGGCTTTCGCTTGCATGTGTGCCTTCCAGTGAGTTCTCTTTCTCTGGATTTCTCCCTCCAAAGAGTCTGGAATCCTGTGCGTCCTCTCTTTAAACAGGAAGCAGGAAGACAGCCTCTCTTCTCTGAAGCTTTCATGCCAAACACCACTGCTCACACAGGCACACCATTGAGGGGTAGCCATCATCCTTTCCACTAAAAGAGAGGAATCTGATTTATGTAAATTATACAGGCATGAATCCAAAATAAAATAAAAATAAGGGTGTTTTTGTTTCTATTAATTTATATATATATTATTTTTTAGAGAATGCTGGGAGGTTAAGCTAGTAGGATAAAAAAGTGTTCTTGAAAATATCACATAGTAGGCATTTAGTCAACACCTCCTGATTTTAATTCCCCCCCAGGCTGCTACTTCGATGATGATGATGATGACTACTACCACCACCACCACCACCACCACCACTACTACTACTCCTACTCCTCCTACTACTACACCTATTACTATTGCTACTGCTGCTGGTGCTACTTGCTAGGCACTGTGCCTAAGCACGAAGGATACGAAGAAAAGCAAAAAAAAAAAAAAAAAATTACCTGCCATAAAGGAATGGGGAATTGAACGGGGAAGACAACATGTAAACAACCAAGCACATATGAGATATAGAGACTAGATGAAAAGCAATTTCAGAGGTAAGCTCAGGTGTGCAACCTTCTTTGGGAGTGAAACAACATGACATCATAGAGCTAAAACTTGAAATTTTTTTTTTCTCTTGTTTAGTCATTTTAGTGGTGTCTGACCCCATTTGGGGTTTTCTTGGCACAGATACTGGAGTGGTTTGCCATTTCCTTCTCCAGCTAATTTTATAGCTGAGGAAACTGAGGCAAACAGCGTTAAGTGACTTGCTCAGGGTCACACAGCTAGTAAGTGTCTGAGGCCAGATTTGAACTCAGGAAGATGAGTCTTCCTGACGCCAGGCCCTGCACTCTATGCACTGTGGCGCCAGGAGTTCTGTATACCAATGAAATCACACATACAGTCCCTACCCCTATCGTTTCCCTAGATTCTAGCTCAGTGCCAGGCACATGGGAGGTGATGATAGAATGCTTGCTGACTGATTAGTTAACAATTGCAAAATTAGAAACTGACTATGTCTCCTTTGGAATATTTTGATGATTTGTTCTTGAAAAACAGCTAGATTCTAGCTCGGTGCCTGGCAGGCAGGAGGTGAAGATTCAATGGTTGTTGACTCTGTCCTCTTTTTTGATAATTTGTTCTTAAAAAATAGCATAAGAGACACTGCCAAGGAAATAGCCTGGTCATCTAATAATGGAACCAATTGACTGAAAGCACTTTGAAGGTAGGAATTACCTTTCTTTTGTCTTTGGATTCCAGTACCTAACACTCAGCTGGCTTTAATAAATATTGTTCATTTATTGGTTGGTTGATGGAGTATGAGATAATAGATGTCAGGATTTAGATCTGGAAGAGATCATAAGGGAGCATCCATTCTCCTTTCCACTTGACAAATTAGGAAACTGAGGCCCAGAGAAGAGCTGGGATTTGAACCTAGGTCCTTTGACTTTAAAACCAATGCCTTTTGCGTGGTACTCAGATGACACTTTGTCAGGAGTGCTATGGAGGAGCCTAGGGGAAAAAACCATCCAGCTCTGGTTGAGAATTCCCTTCCTCTTGTGGACTGGACCTCTAAAGGAGTGAGGAGACTGAAGATTCACAGTATAAGTGGACAAAGTAAACGTGAACTCAACGTGCTCCCCGAGCTGGCCTCTGTTTGGCCGTTGGAATTCAGAGCTGGATGTCTCTGCTAAGGTCCTTTGGGACCATTTGGAAATCATGGGCCCTGGGTGGTTTTATGCTCAAGGAGACTGCCCAGTTATTTTTCTCCACGCCCGTAGAAAGGGACATCCAGATGTCATGAGATTTCTGAATGAGACAGAAATAGCCACTGCAGCCAACAGTGCTCTTTCATTTCCATCTTATGCATTTCATTATTCATTCATTTTTGTTTCATTCATTCCTTCTACTTATTTAATATTTGATTCAAGAAGGCAGGAAACAATACAAGGACTTTCAGTTATGCAAAAATTATATAACGTGTTTTCATTTATGCAAGACTATTAGAGTTCACATGTTCTCTTTGGTGAACTCACAAAAAAAGAATTTTAGCTTATGTTGTTTATCTAAAGCTTACTCAGAATTTTAAAATCTAGATGCTGGGCAGGAAAGGATAGGAGAAGAAAGCCAAATAGGGGCAGAGATGGGCATGGAAGAGCAAAACAATATATAGGTCTGGCAAAAACCATTGGGTTGGGAGTTCAGAGACCATTTTCTAGTTTTGGCCCTGTGTAACCTTGGACAAGTTACACACCTTCTCTTGACCTATTTCCTCATTTGTAAGAGGAGAGGGTTGGACCAGATTCTTTCTAAAGTCTCTTCAGGCTTTGACACTGTAATTATGTCCAGTTAAGTACACTCTTCTACTTGGTAGGGCAGGGATTGTGAACTCTGACTCCCCCACAGCTCATATGTAGGAGAACTGAATAGAGACTTCTGGAGAAGCAGTTTATTTGAGAAGCAGCTGAGGTTCTAGTTTCATCCAGAACTTAGGGTGGTGTTTGAAACATCCTTAAAACACTTCATTCATTCACGGTGAAATTGGATTCTTTCCACTTAGTGCCTAAGGAGTGCCTGTTGGAGGGATAGAGTCATGTTTTTGTTATTCTGCCGGGTGACTCCTTCCAGGTGAATTTCTGAAAAACAGTACTGGGCTTGTCCCTCTGTCAGAAATACAGGGTGTCCCCAAAATCTTAGTTTCGGGAGACCCTGTGTAATGACACTTGATCTCTGAGCATCCGGAGGCAAATGAATTGTAAACAAGTATTGTAAACGAGCCTAGGAAAGAATCTCCAATATGCAACATTATTTTAAGATCTGTTTCCTCTGCTCAAAGAGCTATAATCATTGGTCTACTCGGTACAGGAGGCTTTGAGGTGACCCCTGCCAGTAAGCCGCATGGTCTGCTTGGTTGAGAAAAGACACTGGACGAGGAGACAGGCAGCCTCACCAAAAGAGGTCAGGACAGCTGACCAGCCCAGCCAATGGTGTGGTATCTAGTTGGTGAGGCCCAGAAAGGGTGGGTAGCATAGAGCCCATCAGTGGTAGGTTGGGAACCATCATCTACAGTGTTACTGCAGTGATAATCATTTCCTGTCTCCTTCCACAGGAAAACCCCAACCCAGCAAAAAGTTGCTGTTCCTGGCTCACTCAAGCTCTGTTCTACATTTTACCCTTTAAGCCCAGGGGTCCTCTTTGTCAGGGCACAAGAGTACCTCCTGTGCTGAGTCTCCCATGGGGCTGTATTTCAGTGATGCCCCAAGGCTTACTGATCTTTACACATAGGTCTATTTGATGGTCCTACATTGTGGTACTTTGTAAGTCCTTTCTGGTTTTTATAGTTTTTCTCTGTCCTTCACTGTCAGGCTATCAGGTGTCACTTGTCACTACAGTCAGTATCCCCTCCCCCAACTTTCTTCTTCAAGGTTTCAAGAGAAAAGCCCAGATCATGCTGGCTTTCATCAGCTGGGCCTTTTTTTTTTTTTTTTTTTGCAGAAATAACCATTGTACCAAGTATATTAGGCATAAGATAAGAATAATAATAAAAGGAACATATTTATTAATTAGTCTTGTTTATAGTTAAGGCAATTGGGCAACAGTAGAAGCAACCTCTTCATTTGTCTGTTCTTTTGCTTTCATTTGGAGGTTTTTTTTCCTGTGGGTAGGGGTATTGGGAGGCTGCTAAGCTCCAAGCTGAAGGCCAGGCGCAGAAAGAAAGAACAGTACTATGTAGTAAAGTTAACATAGGGTTTTTTTTTTAATGCGAATTCGTTGCAGAATTTTTTATATAAAGTCAAATTTGCCATAAAGTGAGCACTGTCTGTAGTACCTCCTGCCCGCTGGTTGTTGTGAGAATCAAATGAGACAGTACTGGTAAAGTGTTTACTTTTCACAGTGATTGGCACATAGTAGGCACTATACAAAGGATCGCTATTATTATTATTATCACGGTGGGCATGTCACTTAACCTCTGTCTCAGTTTTCTCAACTACAAAGTGGGGATCATAATAGCCCCCAACTCCCAGGGTTATCATGAGAATTAAATAATACTTATAAAGCACTTAGCACAGTGCTTGGCATGTAATTATTATTATTAACCTTCAAGAAGAAGAATTTAGCAGTGGTCCCCGAGGATACGCACTATTTTCTTTTGGAGTCTGTATCCCTAGTGCTTAGGACAGTGGCCATGATAGGCGCTTAATACATGCTGAATTGACATGAACTGAAGCTAACCACTTTATGCCATCCTGACTTCATTGCATACTTTTTTTTGTTTGTTTTTTGTTTTTTTGCTTTTTGCTAGGCAATTGGGGTTAAGTGACTTGCCCAGGGTCACACAGCTAGTACGTGTTGTGTGTTGTGTGTTGTGTGTCTGAGGCCATATTTGAACTCAGGTCCTCCTGACTTCAGGGCCAGTACTCTATTCACTGCGCCACCTAGCTGCCCCCACTGCATACTTTGAAATGCTTTCCTCTCCTTCTTTTCCCCTTTTCTTCCCCTCCACTCAAGCAAAGGGCCAGTTACAAGACCGATTATGTTATGGCCCAAGTTGTATTTACTAGTAGTTAGGAAAAAACTCCAGCGCCCATCAGTTTCTCTTGAAACCATTTAAAAGGCGCTCATTTGACTTCTCCACAGCCTCACTGGGGAACAGGACGTCTGGGCAGGAGCTCAGCTGCTGTGCAGCAGCTTTTAAGCCTGACCTCATCTTCGGTCCTCATTAGGCAGGTCAGTCCTGGAAGCAGATGGATCTTCAGCCGCCCTTTTCCTCCAGGCTGCCTTTGGAGTACCATGTTATTTTTGCTCAATAACTGTAATCTTGCACATTGCACAGGCCTAAAAATAGGGACTTATTCTCTTGTTCAACAGAGAAACTGTAATATTTCCCCAGGGGGAAAAGAAATGTTGGATTTTTCTTGATTGGGGTCAAAGGAGATGGAAAATTTTCTGGAAGCTCAACCCTAAACCTTTCTCTGAGTATCTTTTATCAGACTACGATACACAGGCTTTCCTCTAGCCGTGGAAGGGCTGGCTATAACTGACGTCCATCAGCAGCAACACTCCCAGTGGACCAAGTTGTTTTGCTCAACTCATGACCTTTTTCAGGAGTTAAGTAATTATGAGGAAATTCAACAGTTCAACGATGATTATTAAACACCTGCTATGTTCAAGGGACTCTGTTTTAAGTTCTATAGATTCCAAAAAATAGTCCCTGCTCTCAAGAAGCTAACATTTTACTGATGGGTGGAGAAGATGCAACAGGTACGCAGAGATATAAATACAAGATCATCTGAGGAGGGGGAGCATACTAACAATTAGGGAGGGAGAACAGTATAGGGTCCCATGTGAAGTGTCTCCTGAGACAAACCTTCCAGGCTTATCTCTGCCTGAAGACAGAGTTTCTTTACTTGGGAGGTGAAATCATAGTGAAATCCCAGGTCCAGCAATTTCCCTTAATACTTGCACTAAATGCCTCACAGAGCTTAATGGTAGGCACTTAATAAATGTTCGCTGTGGAGAGGAAATGAGATGTTTTATATGAAAGTCCATTGTACATGTATAAATAGGAGAAATCATCATTATCTGGGTTTATTTTCTACTTCCTTTTTTCTTGTTTTCCTCCTTTTTCTTCCTCTTCCTCTTTTTCTTCTTTCTTTTTCTCTTTCTTCCTCCTTTTCCTCTTCATTTTTTCTCCTTTCTTTCTTCCTCTTCCTTTTTCTCCTTCTCTTCTGCTTCTTTTCCCTTTTCCTGCTCCTCTTTCCTCGTCTCTTTTTCTTTTCTTCCTTCCTTCCTTCCTTCCTTTTTTCTTTCCTTCCTTCCTTTTTTCCTTCCTTCCTTCCTTCCTTCCTTTCTTTCTTTCTTCCTTCCTTCCTTCCTTCCTTCCTTCCTTCCTTCCTTC